AATATAAACCAATAATTTACTCAAGAGGCTGCCAGTAATGTTGAAGAGGAGATTCATTTAACTATTTTGAGCACAGCAGCTTTGGTCAACTGATGGAGACAGAAAACAGACTACCAGGAATTAAAAAAAACAACAAACAAACATCAAACAAACCAAACAAAAAACAGAGCAAGAGGGCTCACCCACCAGCTGTAGGCAATGAAGAGAGAGAAGAGAGGGCCTTGGACAAATGAAGGGTCAGCGGGGACTGAAGTGATGTGAGGAGCAACAGCAAGTGTGGCAAGAGATGCATACCAAGCTGAAAATGAGAGAGAGGAAGCAAGATGGGGATCTGGCCAGGAATAAGGAGAGAAATGAAAAAGGGAAATGAAATTTGTCATAGTATGAGGTACAGTAAAAGTATTAGTGCTTACAGGAAGGTTTTGTATAATCCATGTCAATAAGCTGCGGTGGCACTGATGGCCCCTGCATGAAGGCACTGGCACTTCTATCTAGCAGTTCTTCTGACTTCCTTGTATTCTCAGCATTGTGCAAGCATATATATATATATATATTTAGATATTTCCTGGCCCTGCCCTTCTCACATCCTCTTTCCACTAAGATCTCCTTGCTCTTCTTGTAACAAAACTGCTATGCCCGTTCAGTTTCCAGTGCTGTACATCCTTTGGCAGTGAAGAAGACGCTGTTTTTTCACAAGGCCTTACCAAACATAAATGCTGCAGGTAAAGGGGCTGAGGGATCTTAAAGAATAGCTGAAAAACTTTTCTACTTCCGCATGACCTAGGGAATTCACTCATTAAGCTGCCCCTGCCCTTCTCACATCCTCTTTCCACTAAGATCTCCTTGCTCTTCTTGTAACAAAACTGCTATGCCCGTTCAGTTTCCAGTGCTGTACATCCTTTGGCAGTGAAGAAGACGCTGTTTTTTCACAAGGCCTTACCAAACATAAATGCTGCAGGTAAAGGGGCTGAGGGATCTTAAAGAATAGCTGAAAAACTTTTCTACTTCCGCATGACCTAGGGAATTCACTCATTAAGCTGCCTGCTCCCAAGGAGACTGCAGGATGAAGCAATAAAGGCAATACATGGAGCAAATTAATTATCCCTTAAAGCAGATGCTTTAAGATCAAACTAGAACATTTCTGAAAACTCAGTCAATACTACTTCTGTAGTCTTGCTATTCTGACAAAAACTCTTCCCCTAAATTGCCTGTGGAAAAAAAGTCCTGTACCACAGAGCCAGCTATCAGCAGCCAGCAGCTGGAATTCCTTCAGGATTTTCACAGCACCTAGTAGCCAGCTCTGGCAGGGCAACAGTGAAGCACACACACAAACCTCAGTGCCAGCCCAGGGCCAGTGGGGTCCCTGTTGGCATAACCTTCTGTCTGTAGTATTCAAAATGCAATTACTCTTTGAGAGGTGGCTGAATGAAAAGAGTGCCTCATGTCACATGAAAATCTGTGCCCTTTTTGACTCCCAGTCAAGATTGGTTTCCTGAGAAAAGCCATTTCACAGTGCCAGCCACCCCACTGAGGAGTCATTACAGCAAGAGAACTGGAGACTTTGCCATGCTTTTTCATTAATAATGGTAATAATTTAGACTCTGTCAAGCCAGTCTAAACTCATTTTTTTGCTGTCACCGGGAGAAACAGAAAGATGTTCCACAACTTACTTTATCTGTGCCCCAGCAGCCAGCCTTTGACTATAACGAGTAAGACAGAAAGTGTTTCCACACAGCAGTCCACACTTTTAAAAGAACTTCAGCTCTTTTATATAGTTCTACAGCAAAAAAAAAATATGTGTAGAGGTTAGAAGCAAATAGGCACATTCACCACACACAAAGTCTGCGTATTTTGACCAGAAGTGATGCAACGTATTTCTCAAAGGTACTGAAAATTAGACTTTTATTTTTACAGTACAAACGGGGCATTGATAGAGCTTGTACAGAATCCCTGTACTGACCCTAAATGATATTCTACACCCATGACTTCAAACACACTTATCATACCCCAGTTTATGAATTCTGTGTAACTATAACCATCAAGGCTACGTGTGCCAGTAAATGCCTTGGGAGCCACACATTAACATCACACTCGTGTCAATCCATGACAACTCATGTGATTTTTGCATTGCACTGAGGTCACAGAGACCAGCATCCTTCAGGGACTTCTTTTTCCCCTCCCCTTTCTCTCCTTTGACTGCACTACAGTCTTTCTGCAGCCATCCCCACTTGCTGGAAGAGCAACAGACACAAAAGAACACGGAATAAACTATTTCTGCCCCCACTTGGCAAACGGATAAGCTCTTGTTGATAGAAACACTCACATTCCTCACAGGTGTTGCTGCTACATTTCCTAATGGCTGACTTTTAAAGAAACAGAACTTTATGTGTAATGTCTGGATGAATGAACAAGCCCCCGTCAAAAAGATTTTGCGTGGCTTCTTGGTAACTCCTTGCTGGTGGGAAAAGTTCAACGAGAAGAAACCACCACTTAACTTAAAAGCAACGACATTTTCTTCAATCAGAGAAATCCTGAGGATGTTGGGGTTTTTTTAAGAGGTGGAGGAGGGAGGGCACAATTTACTGGTGCAGATGAAAACCGAAAATCCTTTCCTGCTATTATGTACTGTTTTCACTTTCAACCTGCAGAGAACTCTACAATAAATCGCAACCCGATGGGGCTGCGCACCCACGGCTCTCCTGATCCCACCTCCCAGGCTTTTCCTCCTGCCCACGAACAACAAACCTCACGGGCCACTTCCCGGCTCCCCTTCCCAGCACCCCTTCCCACCTCCTCCGCACCCCTCCCGCCGCCCCCCGCAGCCCCCAGGAAAGCCGCAGCCCCCCCAGCACCTGCCGCAGGGTTTATTCCTGGCCGCGCCACTGTGTTTTCCTGCCTTCACGCCGCCCAC